TATATATATATATATATATATATATATATATAATATATATTTTTAAACAAAGTAAATTTGTTTATACAAAAAAAATGGCTGCCAACATCAGAGAAGAAATCCGCAGATTGCAGCGACGTAAACAATTGCACTTTCAGCCTCAAACAAACAGTGGCGATTCATCAGATATGGAAGGACCTTCTAGTCCTTCTGGTCCATCTGGCTCTTCTTTAACTCTCTTTAGTCATAACACTAGTGGAAAAGAAAAACCACTTTTCACATTTAGACAGGTAAAATCTTCTAATTATTTGCATATTTTAATAGCAAATACAAATATATGGATCACTTTTTGTTTACGTTCTCATATAGTACAGAAACTTACAGGAACATTGCTGCAACATTTGCAATGTTGCTGGAATGATCTGTATAGAGAGGAATTACTTCATTAGAGATAAATACCGATTATTATAAGTAAAAGTTTTGATTTTATTGATATGTCCATAAGATTGATGTTGTAGGTTGGCTTGATCTGCGAGCGAATGCTCAAAGAGCAAGAAACGCAAATCCGAGAAGAATATGATAAGATCTTACATTTAAAGCTCTCCGAACAGTATGACGCTTTTGTCAAATTCACATACGATCAGATACAAAAAAGATTTGAATCCGCAGCTGCACCGAGTTGTAAGTACTTTAAGAATGATGATGTCTGCACGCCTTTTGTTTTTCTTGTATCACGATTTTTATATTTACAGATCTATCATAAGAAAAGTTTCTTATTTATAAGAAGACATTTCTGTGAGGAGTATTAGGTAAATTTTGTGAACATGTTCTTTTTTTTTCTAGAGAAAACTATGAAACATTTAATTAATAAGATATAAAGCAGAAATCTATTACTTCTTTTTTTAAAAACATTTTGTCATTTTGTAGATTTTTACTGTGTGAGACAAATTTTGCTTGCGCCGAGGTTTGCAGCGCCGCCTCGCTTCGGGAATCACATCTAAAAAGATAAATGGTTTCAGCAGTGTCTAATAAAAAAAAAAGAACTAAAAAAGGTGAGAACGGGGAAAAATAAAAAAAAAATGATTAGTAATGTAAGTTCGTAGAGAGAAAGAGAGTGAGAGTGAAAGAGAGAAAAAAAGAGTAAATTGCGGTGAATTGTAAACATATTACGAAAATTTACCATGTATACTTTCGAGACTAACAATATTTGTACTGTTCGACATTAGAAGTGCGCTGGTATCAGGGAACTGATTCTACTTATGTACAAATGTTATTACGGTTAAAAATACGATATATATACACAGTGCAAGGCTAAAGTGCGAAGCTTGATACCCAGCTGAAAGAAGAGAACAAGAGAGAAAGCTGAGAGATTTCTTTCTAGCTTCTTATATAAACACACACACACACACACACACACGAATATATTTTTCTCTTAGCTTGTTTGGAATATTGTAAAATGTAAACGAAATTTTGAGACACTTTGCACATGTCGTATAGATAGAGCATTGTGTCGAATACTAAGTAAGGTATTTCAATAAGTTTTTCGTTTGTTCATCTTGACGCTACGACAGTTTAGACATTGCTCAAGTATATACGGCAACCAATGCTCTAAGCATCTTATCGCAAATGTGTTGGATGCATCTTGCGAGTTTTGAGGCTGGAGATAATGTGCATTCGCGAATAGAAGGATTGCCTTTTTGAATCCTATCTGCTCAGCGAAGAGCGGGCTAACGTTTAGAATCCAATGTATGGTTGCGTATAAATTAAAATTAAGAGATTAAATTCTACGGCTTGTAAATTAAAATTTACAAGAAAGCTACATTAGTATAATGACTTGTTAAATTGATAGTAAATTTGTTTTTGAATATTGGTTTTGAAGTTATAATACATTCGTATTAGATTCTACGATTTTTTTTTCGACTAGAAAATTTTCTATTTTACATAGATATACAGAAAAATAAAATTGAAAATGTTTTTGCAATTTTTTTATTTTTTATTGAAAATTCTTGTAAAAACAAAATAAAGATCTCATTTAAGATAAACGTTACGAAGAGCTGTAAAAGTGTCGGGATAATATTGTAGACTATAGTAGGTATTGTATGAAGGCATTGTGAAGCGTAACTATTTGGAATAAAGATTTCATAAAATCTCGTCACACACAGCATTTCTGTTCCCTGGTAGCAACGAATTTCTGTAGTTGTAATTAAAAAAAAAGTGCTGAGTAATGAATATAACTATATACTGTACTCTAACTGTGCCTATTATTAGACATGTTTGTCACGATTATTATTATGTTATTATTTACTGTTATCGCCGTCGTAAAAAATTTTTATAGTTTGTAGCAATTCTCATTATGTTGAAGTACCATATGCTGCGCGCGTTGTTTTCTTTTTCTTTTTTTACTCGATTAAGATAGGGTCCTATGAGTCTTGGTGGCTGCGTGCATTTTTTTATGTCCCAGCGTGAAAATTTTTGTTTCGCCAAGTATTGAAAAAAGGCATTTAAAGCACCAAGTAGAAAGTTCTGTCGAAAGTTGTAAGCACAATGTAAAGTGATCTTCGACTATGCCTATGATCACGACTGTCGAGAAAGTGATATGTCGTATGATTTCGATGGGCATTCGAATTACTACTGCCTTTTTCATATTGCGTAAAAGAAAAGAAAGAAAGTGTCTCTCAGTTACCACAATATTTTTGGGAGCATCGTACGCCGATGGTGTTCACGCCCACACACGTAAACACAGAAAAGTATATATATTATGTTACATCGACTATCTACCGACTATTGAGTGTGAGAAAAAAAGAAGAAATAAATTACGAAGAAATATAAGCGGGTTTAATTATTAACGCCAAGTAATGTCTACTTCACGCTCGCGAAGATAGATACGCGTTAAAGAAAATCGTGAACACACGTAAGCGATCGTTTGAAAAATTCAGGGGATTTCATTTAAGCTGCAGAAAATACCTCCGTATTATATTATGTAAACATTCATTATCGAAATAAACTTAAGACTGAAAAGGTATAAGACTATTATTTCCCTCTCAATAAAATTGTTACCATTCCTCTATACAAGACACAATTGTTGCAAATGATTTACTTTACGATTACAGGTAACATATTGCGAAGAAATATATACTTATACATAAATGTTTCATATTACAATATTACTGGTGTTGAATATTTATGTCTTGACCGCGAATGTGCAATGATCGAAAATGTACACGACGATTCTTTCTGTCATACATAACTCGCAATCCTCTTAAATCAGTTTTATAACGAAGTAATTCCATTAGCAGCATTATTAGTAGTATGGCTTCGAGGGAAGCCCCGACAAGACTATATGAATCCGAACTGGGTGTCGGAGACGTGTCACTTCTGGGCGGGAAATAAATTTCTCTGCTAAAACACTTTGTTCGTTTAGAAAAAAAAAACAGTGCCAAATGTTCCCTATATTATTTTTGGTCTTCGTTGTAGCCATTAAAGTATTTAAAAAGACCACTCCTAATGGTGAGTACGCTCAACTCTATCGAGACTTCTTAAAAATTTTATTTATCTTCCTTAATGAGCCGCGCTTAATAATATCACGTTAAAATATCCTATAGGCAAACTTACGGTATATCTGGGCAAAAGAGATTTTATCGACCATCTAGATCACACTGATCCCATCGACGGCATTATCGTAGTGGAAAATGACTACCTTCAGGGGCGCAAGGTCTTTGGTCAGGTAGGTAAAGCACAAAAGACATGCAATTCTTATAAACACGTTCTCAGATATGATTCCTGAAAGTCGTCCAGTACATTTCTCATTAATATAATATTGTAACGTTATATATTGTATTTAGGTCTCGACAACCTACCGATATGGCCGTGAAGAGGACGAAGTTATGGGAGTCAAATTCAGCAAGGAACTGGTATTGTGTCACGATCAGATAATACCGGTGAAGAAGGAAAAGCAGGAAACTACATCAATACAGGATCGCTTATTGAAGCGCTTGGGTTCAAATGCATATCCATTCATATTCCATTTTCCGCAGACGGCTCCTTGCTCGGTCACTCTTCAACCCGGTGATGATGATCAAGGGAAACCCTTAGGAGTCGAGTATGCTGTGAAAATATTTGTTGGAGATAATGAAGAAGACAAGGTATAGAAATGGGAAATGAGACATACATGAATATGAGAAATTAATGCACGATATAAAAATAAATTAATAATTTAAACCAAAATTTCTGTAAAAATCTGCTTTATATTTTATCAGAAACACAAAAGGTCTTCTGTTTCGTTGGCCATCAAGAAGTTACAGTACGCTCCACCAATACGAGGCCGCCGACTTCCCAGCTCTTTGGTTTATAAGGGATTCACTTTCTCCCAGGGCAAATTGAATCTGGAAGTTACCCTGGACAAAGAGCTCTACTATCACGGCGAGAAAGTTGCGGCGAACGTCACAATTACGAATAATTCGCGAAAGGCAGTAAAGAACATTAAGGTAAATTCTAAAATTAAATTCTATCTTCTTCTCGTGAATCGATCAAAATTAAATCAAAGTGTTTGCATTTAACGCTATCCTGTTTTCTTCGTAGTTGTACGTCGTTCAACATTGCGAGGTGACTATGGTAAACGCCCAATTTTCGCGACACGTGGCTAGTTTAGAGACTCGCGAGGGTTGTCCGATCACACCAGGTGCATCCTTCACGAAACAATTCTATCTTGTGCCTCTGGCCAGCAGCAACAAAGATCGGCGTGGCATCGCTCTCGACGGGCATCTCAAAGTGCGTAATAAGCTTGAAATGATTAAACGTAATTATTTTATTAATTAATGATTCTTTTCTTATGTTATGCTGTTAAAATATATAAAAGATCATATAACATAAACATTGTCAATATTACGAAGTATTTATTTATTTAAAAATATTGTTTATATAAATACGATATATAAACTTATAAAAATTAATATTTTAATATAATATATAAATATATAAAAAATTAATATACTAATAATAATACAGAAAAATTTATCTTGAGTATTCTGTTTAGGATGACGACGTAAATTTAGCATCCTCAACTTTGGTAGCTGAAGGCAAGTGTCCAACTGAAGCTTTGGGTATTGTAATCTCTTATTCAATCCGAGTAAAGCTGAATTGCGGTACTCTGGGTGGTGAGCTGGTTACAGATGTTCCATTCAAACTGATGCATCCAGCTCCTGGTATGTTATTTAAAATATTTTTTGATATTATATATATATATATATTGTAATTAATCGTATAGATTACTGTAAATGTCTTAATTGAATAAAAAAAAGTTTACTTCCATTTTTAGACGAAAGAATTCAGAATTTATATAAAATATTTTAAATGTCCAATTCAGATTATTCAAGTATTTTCTTTCTTTCTGCAGGCGCCGTTGAAAGAGAAAATACCATGTTGAAGAAAAGCAAGAGTATTGACAGGGCACGGTACGAGAATTCCTGCTACGCCAACGACGATGATGATAATATCATATTTGAAGACTTTGCTCGTTTGCGCTTGAATGAACCAGAATAAACCAGAGAGATAGAGAGATAGAAGAAAAAAGCGAAAGATTTTAGCGCTTTTTATCTTGCGATTATTTTAAAAGAATCCTGAGCTTTCTATTCGTGATGAATTATCTTTCGTGTTTAAAATTAAAAATTTTCATTTTTTAAATATTAAACTTAAAATTAATTAGACATAATTAAAAAACATACAACTTGAGATACTTTAAATAATTTATTTAAAATTTTCGTCTCTTTGGATTCTTTTGATTTGGTTCCTAATAAACGAGCTGTATTAAATGAATGTAGGTAAAAAAAGAACACTATTAAAGAAAAATTAACTATATAATATTATGAAACTGTTACTGAAGAAAAAAAAAATAAAAAAAATACAAAAAAAGCGAAAAAATAACTAAATATAAAAAAAATCGTCTCGGAATTTCTGTGCAATGGTGGTGATTGGACAGAAATTCATTGCAAGATGAACAAGAAAAAAAAGAATGTCAAGTAAGCTTAATAATTGTATGGTTAAGTTTAAGAATTTCCCGTTTTACCAGAAGTGACATGATATGTATATTATTCGTCCCAATTAATTTCTTATGTTTTATGATATTCCACACATTCAATTAATTATTTATTAACAAAAAACTGTTGATTAACGATACTGTTCAGTTGCAATTACATTAGAAAATACATATATATATATGAACTATAAAAAAAAACGCACCTTTATCTTTTCTCTATTCAAATTGATTTTTCAAATCCTTCAGATGCTACAGCGAATACATGCACCTGCTACATTATCGATATAAAAAAATACATACAGGATCCTGTCAGGATTGCTATGTCACTATAAAAGATCATCGCATCATTATCGAAAATTATATATATTTTGTGGCTATACAAAATATTACAGGGAACAACGATATCAAATCAATATCAGTCTTATGCAGAGCATTATGAAGACGACTCTCGTTGTTCTTCGCTTAGTCGTACATATGCGAATAATATTCCTGATACGTCTGGATATAAGACTCCTTCTCTATGGGCGTCATTTCCGCAATTAAGGTATCGTTAACGTCGGTGATCGCGACGGTTTTGCCGCCGACACTGACGGTCGGTACTAGTTCATCGTCCTCGGAATCCATCGCCTCTATCTCGCCTAAAAATCGATTCGGCAATAGTAAAATTTAAGAAGATACAGATTAATTAGAAATCATTCGAATATTCTGCAAGTTTTATTTTTATAATTTTTTACTTTCGAGGTCTTTTATATTATATTATTCTTTCTTCAGACAATTGATTGTTGCGCAATAATTCGGAATCTTTTGATAAATTTTATGTCTTACCAGTATCAACTGTCTGCATTTCTTCCTCCTCGTTATCGCTACTGTCGCTGGATTCCTGTGGAAGCGCTGCTTTAATAGACGCTGCGGAATTGGTCCCGCCCTTCTTCTCGTGAGCCAGTAACACTGACATGATATCCTCGCCCTGTTTATTATTCGTCGTAGTCATGTTTGTGGCAGTGGCTGCAGCTTTGTCCAAAATGCTGTCTTGTGCATTCACGCCATCAGGCTGTAAGACATTCGAAAATAAAGATTAAGATCTATATAACTTAAGATACAATTGAAAAGCAATCAAAACAAGGGATAACAGATTTCAACCTATTCGAACACACAGTTTCTAATAGCTTGATTTGTTATTTCGTGTTCCAGTTGTCTGCGTTTTTCAATTGTATCTTAAATTATATCTCAAGCTTCAGAAAAAGATGCAATAGAACAAAAATAATACCTGTGAACCATCGGAATTGATAACTGTACTTTCCCTCATCCATATGGGTCTCTCCTTTCTGTGATTCGACGCGTCATCAGGAGATTCGTCTCCAATAGTAACATCCACTCTAGTATCTTCCACTATAAAGCCTGTCATTCTAGTAGCTTCACCCGACCACTGTTCGCTAGGTGCTCTAAGACTGCTCGGTTTTCTTGTGTCAATACTATTCAAAATAATTATTTTAATAAATATTATTATACATGAGCATTTCTTTAGAAACACATACCCTCGAATAGTATTGATATCAATGGGTTCCGGTTCCAGTATTTCAGGCGCCAATTTGATCCCTTCTACTTCCCTTAATAGTATATAGAGTGGCTCCAATTGTTCATTAAATTTTGCTAATAATAATCTGGAATCTTTCTTTGGAAGAGCAGACTGATCTTCTTCCACTATCTCTCGACAATATGTACATCTAAACTCGCCAGTTCTCATGTCAAAAAGTTGATCAGCCTGTACAAGAATTGAATCAAATCTGTGTAACATGTATCATGTACTTTAAATTAAAAGATTTGCTATCTAGTATATACTTTTGGAACCTAAAGTGAAATAGATATATTTAATATTTGGTGAAAATAAGAGTCAGTTCTAATGCAGTTTAGTACAGAAAAAAACAGACCTATTACAATATAATATATTATAATAAGTCTGTTTTTTAAACTGTCATATTGTTTTAGTTATTATATCTTAATTATAATATAATAAAACAGAATAAAAACTGTTTTATCTTAAAAAATAAATTTTCTTAATTCAATTTTTAAGATTACATCAAGTTTACCACACTGTCATACTCACTTCAAGATCAGTAAATGTCTTTAAACAACTTGGACACTTAAAGCTAGCTCTACTAGTTGCATCTCTCTCCTCAGTTTCCATTCTCTTTCTCATTAAATCGAGTTTATACTTCACCACGTTTACAAATGTCTAAAACAAAGACACAAACTCTTTTCATTCATTCTTCCATTTGCTAATATTTTCCATCCCAGCAAACTAGAATGGATTTAAATGAATTCAGATTTTCAGAAATATTGATTCACGAATGTTAAAATGAATGCTTTTTAATTCTGAATGCATTTTTATTCATTTATAGGAATGGAGCATATCTCTATGCCTTTCAATCTAAAAATAATATTAGCTTTTTCTGTGCAATTGTGAATACTGTTCAATTCAAAATTTTGGAAAATAGGAAATTGCAATTTTTTAATCCAATTGCATCCAATTAAATCTAATTGAATCCAATTGAATTCAATTAAATAAAAAAAAAATATTCGCTATTTAAAATACGCATATTTGGATAGAAAAAAATTTCAATCCATTTTAATCCATTCTCGTTTACTGGGAAGTTAAAGAGAATCGTAACCATGTTACCTACTTTATAATTAATAAAGTAATAATTGACTTTCTGTGCTTTGCCATCTGACCCTGTTTCCATCTTCAATCTCACTTGAATAAACTTATCATTTCGCAATGTGGATATCCTGGCTCTTAACATCTTGCGTTCAAACTTAAGCAATTCACAAATGTCATCTTCTTTCATACCTAGTGGTATTTCATTATAAAATATTATTCCAATTATCCAGCAAACAAGAATGGATTGAAATGAATTAAAATGGATTCAGATTTTTAGAAATATTGATTCACAAATGTTAAAATGAATGCTTTTCAATCCTGAATGCATTTTTATTCATTTATAGAAATTGCATGGAGCATATCTTTATGCCTTTCATCTAAAAATAATATTAGCTTTTTCTATGCATTGTGAATACTGTTCAATTCAAAATTTTGAATAGGGAATACAGTTTTGCATCCAATTGGATCTAATTGAATCCAATTAAATGCAAAAAAAGTATTCGCTATTTAAAATACGCATTCGGATAGACAAAAATTTCAATCCATTTTAATCCATTCTCATTTGCTGGGTACATGAAATATTTACTAAATCAGTATAATTACTTACACGGATTTCTGACCAGCATATCTACAATTAAAGCATCTTCAATCGAGTAAAACCCACGTACAACAAGACGTGCCAGTTTCTTCAAGCTACTAGGTACCTCAGTGACGAGTCTCTCCTCGACGCTCATATTTCAGATGAAAATGATTTTCTAACAATCGATATCGTTGCCAAATAACAATTTTATCAATAATATTATTATCGTTATTATTACGTTTACTGTTCGTTCACAGGCCAGGCTCACAGTTTCATGTTAAACGCACTTTACGATAAACGCACACACTGCATTCTCCAAAAATACGATCGCTATACTTGTAAAATTGTAAGCGTATCTTCATTTTTCTTCTAGAAATCAGATATAACTTTGTAAAAAAAAGATATTTTATAATAAAATGCCGACAAATAAAAAAGACAAAAGCTTCATGAATACAAATATTACACCATAAATTCTTACAATGATCAGAATTTTCTCTTGTTTTTCTCCTTCTTCTCTCGTTACATTGTAAGAAATTTACTAGATATAGACACAACAGAGATACCAACAGCGTCAGGGCTGTGTGGCTCAGTGGCAGGACGAAAGTCTACCAAATCGGAGGAAAGAATGGGCCTGGAATCGAGACGAAGAGCGCCCTGAAATTTTTCTCTGTTATCGTCAATTATTTACAATACATATCAATTACGTACAATATCTTGAGCTGTGGAACATTGTTCTACGTTTCAGGAATGTTGGAAAAACCACAAGGACACACTTATTGCCAGTCAATGCGCAGTGAATTTATGTCACGACTGTCTTGAAGTGTCTTTAGGTTAGAATCAGGAAAATCCCGCAAATGCGGTGTTACACCACTTGCGCCACATGATGCACCAGCTGTGCGCGGAATACGTGCGCGGCTCCGAGTCCATGGCCTCTCTCAGATTTCTTTCTGATTTTGCTCCTCGAATAAATCCCCAGGAAAATTAAATTTATTCATAGGTTGATCTTTGATAGCATTGTGATGTTTTTTTATTAATATAAATTTATTTAAAAAAAAAATAGAATACTCTCTATCTCCCCTACTTAAAGGAAAATATTGACAAGGAAAAAAAAATACCTTCGTTCATGCAAAGTCTCATAGAGGACTCTGAAGTATTTTGAAGATTATTTTGGAAATCGGTTTATTAATCATGAAACTTTATTCCTAGGATGAAAAAAATAAAAAGCGAAAATTTTTACCATTGAAATTAAATTAATGGCGAAATTTTTCACTTTCCATCTTAGGGATAAAGTTTCATGATTGATACCTAAAGAAATTAAGTCGTGCCTCTGCTCCCCGAAGAGGCAAAAATTAGACCGTAAGATGAAATAATACATAATACTGTGTAAAAGATCGGAAATCTGTACAGGAATTTGAAAGAAGAAAAAAATAAAAAGATGAGATGTTTTCTTACTCACTAGTTTTTTCCACTAAACGCGCATGCATGTTGCATGGAAAACTGCGTGGCAGTCGTGGTACTACATCAACAACACGTCTGCTAAATGACTACGATCTGTCAAACTGTCGAATATCAATAAATTTTCACACGAATAATTTACATATAAAGAATTTTAATAAGTTTTTTCAATGGCGGCGATCGATAAAGTTAAAATTATCGTAGTAGGAGACTCGGGTGAGCGTAAGAAAAATATTTAATATTTTAAACATGCAATAATCTTTTTTTCTGATTATCGATATTCTGTAATATTTTATTTGAATGAAATCAAATGAAACTTGGGATAAATATTATGATAATAATATTTCTTGCTATCGTTAATATTTTTATTAATATCAAAGACATTTCTAATATTTACACATTTAGGTTATGTATAATTATGTGATAATATATGTTTTTTATAACTAAACTGACGAGTACTCTTTGTATTTAAAAAGAAATTAGTCCTTTTCTTTTAACTAAACTTCTTGCATAATTCATCTTTCCTCTTTTTCTTTTTACGTTGAATAAAGAAAAGAAAGAAAAACAAATTGTACAAGTTAAAAAGAATACAGATCTAATTAAATGTTTTTATATATTTACAAAAGTGAGAAGGAAAATTTTAGAGTAGTGCAGTAATAAAAAACAAATAATATGTACAGATTATGTACAGATATATGTACAGATTAACTGTTGTAAGAGGAATATTACTTTGATGAGAAAATGTATCATAGATAATAATGATAAATATTTTTATTATTGCAGGAGTCGGTAAAACATCGCTGACACACTTAATATGCCAACAGCAACCTATCGGCAATCCTGCTTGGACAATAGGTTGCTCAGTAGAAGTCAAGTTACACGAGTACAAGGAAGGTACACCAAATCAAAGAAGATACTTTGTCGAGCTATGGGATGTCGGTGGCAGTCAAAGTCACAAAAACACAAGATCTGTATTTTACAATCCCACAAATGGTATACCTATACTGTATAATGATTAAATGTACAACGTCTATATTTCTTTGACTATATTTCTATGAATGCATAATTGCGACAGAATATGACAGTGATTGTAAATATATGTCGTTTACAACTAGGCATAATATTAGTCCATGATTTAACGAATCGTAAATCACAGCAGAATCTGCAGAAATGGCTGGAGGAGGTTTTAAGTAAAGATGGGACTGCCTCAAAGTCCAAGTTCGAAGATTTTGATCCTGAAAAGTTTGTGGGTTCGACGCAGGTGGCAATAATTTTCCAAATTATTGTGATATATTAATGTCAAATTATATAAGTATAATAAATAACACTTATATTTCTAGATTCCAATTTTAGTCATTGGCACGAAATTTGATCTGATCTCGGACTCTAATTTTGTAAAATCCAACATACACAGACGTTCTGCAACCATCGCGGAGGAATGTGGTGCCGATGAAATATTTTTGGTAAGGATTACTTATCTGAGAGACTTGACCAAACACCATTAAAAAATAATTAATTTAAATTTAATTGAATATATTATGTGAAATTTTTAATCAACATGTGACTAACGCTTCTGTTTTACATGCTTTATTGTAATAGGATTGCCATCAGATAAGATCTTTGGCAGCAGGCTCCAGTTCGTCCGTGAAGCTCAGTAGATTTTTCGATAAAGTTATCGAAAGACGTTACTACTCCTCCAAAGAAGCAATCAGTCCTGACAAGCGAAGGCCGCCATTATATACTTCTTCGGTCTATCCAAAGTTTTACCATAACGACTGAGTGCCAAGAGTGCCACTGAGTATCAAGAGATCTCAATCTTATTTCTTGTTATACAGAACAATTGTTCTTGTGACACGAAGCGTTAGTAGGATACGCGAATTAAGTATTACAAGATTATTCGATCTCGCATTTCTTATCCACATTCCTAATCTTTCCACGGAAGAATCTTGTCAGATATGCTTAAAAGAAAGAGAAAGACAACTATCAATGCAGTGTAGATAAAAATATATTAGGCATTCGATATATTTTTCACATATCTATATTGTAGGGACGTCGCATTGTATACAATTGTTTTATAATGCAACATAATATAATCTATTCAATATTTTGTTATTAGCAAAATGTAATTATATAAAAAAATATATACATTAATGTTTTTTTTTATTAAATTATTATAGAATATCGTATAAAAGATTTCTTAACAGTGCGAAAAGCTTGTGGATTGAGATTGAAACAAGATTTTCGTCGATTGATCAATTGTGTTATGTGTAAATACAAGGAATTAATTGTGCAGTTTTAAACGAGATAAAAATTAAAGTAAACGAATTTAAGTTTTGACCAATGAAATTATAAATATATCGACCCCCAACTTTTACGGAGCAAGATTACATTTGAGCATAGATACGATTGATCAATTAATGAAATAAAATAAAAAATATAAAATATAATAATTCATAAAGAGAAATTATGCAACAATTTGGCGTTAATAATTCAATTTATTTTTCTTTATCTGCGAGTCAAGATTGAACATAGCGGGCTATCAGGGTATTCTTGGTATACTAGAGTGTACACAAGTGCAGAACAATGCCATGCCGGTTGGCATGATGCGGATTGGTCAAGCTATCTGCCAACTGTCGGGATAGTTACTTCGTGGTATGAATTCGCTTTCATGACGGCGCGAACCAAATCTTTCAAAACGCATGTCTTGGCCAGCGAATGAATGCGGACGTCAGAGGCGCGTGACAGGTGCGCGGGAGAATTCACACGTATAGTTTAAACGGATAGTCCAGGATAGTAACGAAGCGGGGGAAAGCGGGCCTTTCCTCCTATATTGAAGCTCTGTGGATGTGGACCTCGACTTGGGATTCTGTCAGTGTCACGTTGCGGTCAGCTTTGGTCGTGAGTGTGAGATCAAGTGAAGCGACGTGTAATCTGTCCGGCTCTCCACATGTGTGAGTGTCCAATTTAGGTCAGGCACGTGTATGTACCTGCCTTTTTTTTCGTTCAAGGTTATCGCGTTTATACATTAATAGATATAAAACTGATATAATACCGATGATAACATCGATGAAAGGATTATTCTGCCAGATTTCTGAGATTATGGGCGACCAAACTCCGATTAACTTAATCATTATTAATGACTAGCTTGTCAAGTAATACTTATATTGTTTTGATAACACAATTATTAATTTTAATTATACGGAAAAAAAGATTAAGAATGATGAATTATGTAGTTATTGGAAATTTAATTTTAAGTGATTCTATCAGTTGAATTATTTGTCAATTAATTGGAGTCAAAGTTGTCCTATACATCCAAGCTTGTAGTATATTATAGGCGTGACTTGAGTAATGTGATGAATAATATATCTTAATAGGCGGCTTTTTTGCTTTCTAGATAATATTTCTGCAATTATGTCTTATCATTTTGCAAAGACGTGTGCTAGTACGAATAGTCTCTGTCATGTGTTGACGCATGTACGACCTATGATTTGTATTCAGAGATTTAGCTACGCTCATGATATAAACATAAACTTGAATAGTGGACCAGTCAGTATTCTAAAGCAGAAAATAGCTAGGGGCGAGCTGATGAACGATACGTATCAGACAAAAGTGGCACAGACCCTGCAGCAAATTTACCAAGAAGTCCAAGATTATAAGCCGCAGCAATTAAATCTATTGGAAAAATGGTTTTACAGCAAGCGGAGGGATGCGCCGAAAGGGTTGTACATTTATGGAGCAGTGGGTGGAGGTAAAACAATGTTGATGGACCTATTTTACAATTGTTGCCAGGTATCTCTCTGGTTGCTGTATGCATAAGCACTGTGCATGGAAGGCTAAATTTATACCTTAATCTGTTCAATGTGACAACACATGTTTTTTTTTGCACAATCTAAAAGTAGAGATAACAATTCTTGTGCAATTTGCACGACTTTGATTATTATTAAAGTAACAGATAGATATTGTACAACAAGATATCATAAGAGATTTTTTAAATTGAAACAAACAAGTTGAAATAAAAGTTTGAATAAATCATTCAGAATAAATACGTCACTTGATTGACATCTACAATGCACTTGGATTGCTAATACCTCCCACTTTTCATATATTATATCAACTTTAAACTGAGAAATGAATTCATTGCCATTTATTTCTCCCGAAGATTGGAGATAAAGATGAAATTGTATTCATTTTCAATTTGACAGACCATATAAATTCAAATTATCTTTAGTAAAATAATGAATATATATTTTTGCGTATTGATGTTTTAGGTATCTTTAAATATTTTTATGTATGTTATTTATTCTTGATTTATACATTTAGATAATAAGATGTAACATCATATCAGATATGAAGTTGGCATTAGCAGTCCATATGTGTAGTTGAAGATTAACACATATTATGGCTTTCCATGCATAGTACAGAACAAAAATGAAATTTTTTTATAGTACAATGTAACATACTTTTGAATAAAAATGTTTCAGATTGAAAATAAGAAAAGGGTCCATTTTCATTCTTTCATGCTGGATGTGCATAGTAGAGTGCACGAAGTAAAGAAGACTATTGTACGAGATATGACTAGTACCAAACTGCAACCTTTTGATCCGATACCTCCAGTCGCCTCTGGCATTGCAGAGGAGACTTGGCTGTTGTGCTTCGATGAATTTCAGGTTCAGATTTTTATTATTTCAAGAAAACAAATACTACTTGTAAGTATAATTAAAAATAAAAGATCAATGAAAACAGATGCGTTGCAGGTAACGGATATCGCAGACGCGATGATATTGAAACGGCTGTTCACGGAGCTGTTCGATAATGGCGTGATAGTGGTCGCAACTAGTAACAGATCGCCAGACGATTTATATAAGAACGGACTGCAGAGAGGAAATTTTGTACCATTTATAAAAGTGCTGAAAGATCACTGCTTCGTTAGTAATTTGGACTCTGGGATAGATTACAGATTAAAATCGGGATCCGGAAATAAGAAGATTTACTTCATGTGTGTAAAAATTAATGTGTACAATTTTTGTGATAACTATATTGTCACCGTCTAACAAGCCGTTTAATTATACAAGAAAAGGTAAAGACGCCACGAATGACGTGGATAAAGTCTTCAAGTACCTATGTTCCATGGAGAACGACGTGATACGACCGCGCACGATTTCCATAAGAGGACGCAATGTTACTTTTCGAAAAACCTGCGGGCAGGTGCTGGACTCCACTTTCGAGGAATTATGCGACAGGGTGAGAGGTCTTCTGTATTATTATTATTTGTATTCTATGTTGATTAGAACTATATGTAATATAAGTATTGATCCCCATGTAGCCTCTCGGAGCAAGCGATTATTTGCAGTTGAGTCAAATTTTCCATACAGTCATAATAAGGGACATGCCTCAGTTGAACCTACGACTTAAATCTCAAGCTAGGCGATTTATTACTCTTATCGATACATTGTACGATAATAAGGTAAGAATTATGTGGCTTTAATTACAAATTATAATATTTGCAGTTTAAGGCATTGGAGGATCAATTATATAATAAGTACAGAGAATTTTGATAAAAGAGAAGAGACAGAATTTTGGCTAATGCAAATAGGATGAAAATTTGTCTCAGAATTTTCATGTGAATTGAAACTTCAGAAATATTAAGAAAATTAACATTGTTTTTCTTAGAATTTTTCAAATATGTGAGTTCTGAAAAATTTAAAGATTTCTCATTCTATAATTTTTGAAAAAATACCGTTAACTTTTCTTAGATTTTATAAAATTTTATCAGAAATTAATAGAATGAGAAAAATTTTAGAAATTTAGAATATTTCAAAAATCACGCATATGAATTCTAAAAAAGCTAGTCTTTTTTGACGCTTTAATTTGTATAAAAAATCTCAGAAATGTTCTAAAAAGTTATTAGTTCGGAAAAAATTTTTTACCAGAGCCAATGTGTAACTAATAAAAATTTATTAAATTGCAGGTACGGGTAGTTATGTCAGCGGCTGTACCACACACACAGTTATTTTTATCAGAAAACGAGTCCGAATATACCGATGAGAAAAGGATGCTGATGGACGATTTGAAGATTACGCATGGCTCGGTAGACGTCGATCGATAATGACGACGCAAATGTCTTGTATGAAAAATTATTACAATATGTTAATTTTCAGGAGGATCACAAGGCAAACATCTTTACTGGAGAAGAGGAAATCTTCGCGTTCGACCGTACCGTGTCACGTCTGGCTGAGATGCAGACCTCACAGTATTGGGAACAGTGGGAGCATCACAGATAATGATGGTGTTAAAACTAGTACAAATAGATTTGTGTGGCTCCGTACGAATTCCCATTCACTTAAAATTAAAGATTGTGTAAAATGATGATTGTAATTTTTATAAAACGATCTCTTGCGAGTAGTAGTTATTTAAGTTTTCGTCAGGTATATGCGTATGTATTTTATGCTCGAAGTGTTAACTTTCGCGCTTTCTCAGTATTTTACCTCGTAAATTATTGTGTTGGAAACGTAAGTTTCTTAAAGATTACCTCTAACATTAATTTTATTTATAATTTATGTGATTGCTAAAAAAATTGCTCTAATGCAAATATATATGTTTGTATTTGTGTGTATATATTATATATATGTATATATATATATATCAATTATATGAAATTTTGCACTGATGACGTTTGTTGATTATTCGTTTCTTTGTTATACTATAATAAATAAATTTGTTATACTGTAATAATATCGAGATTGAATGTCATATCTTTGCAGATTTGATTATCGACTATCGGTTATATTGATATTTTAATTATCTACGGATTCAGTAAGCCTAGTGATATATTGGAGCGAGTTATTGAGGAAAGAGTATCTCAATTCCTAATAGTGACACTGGTGCAAAGATTGTACTG